AAATTAGAATTAAAAAAACATGTTTCTAGCTGCAGATTGGTGGGACAGGGGTAAATAAATATTTTAAAAGTATTATGTTTATGTTACAATTATATGTCATTTGGTTTATGGAAACTTCTTACCCTCTTATTCTGGGGGACCCTTTGAAGACTATAAAAGATCTGAAATTCTGCCTCTGTACAGACGTGTTCAAATTATCTGATTAAAGCATGTCTTTTCCAAGTTTCATGATATAATTGGAGAGAAACGCTGTTAAGTGTGATGTTTGTGAAAGGTCCAGGCAGATTGCACATTGTCGACGGGACAATGAGGCATTGCCAATTCAAAAAATCCTTGAAAAGGAACTTTAGAGTGGTTCCCTAATAAAGATGGCATTTTACTCATGATAAACCACAAAGTCCAAAGGCAAAAGTTTCTTTAAGAATTTGGAAGAAAAGCAATTTAAAGTGTTACCATGGCCACGGAATAGCTCTGACTTGAACCCCATAGAAAATTTATGGGGTACCACCAAGAGAAGAATAAGGAAATATACAAGAAGTTGTAGACAAACCAGAGGAGGTGTGGTACCGCGACAATGAAATCAAAACCTCAGGTAAAAAGTTGGTTAACATTATGCCAAACAGGATGAAGTTGTTTATTGATAACAAAGGCACACATACTAACAGTAAGTATTAAATGTGTAACTGTAACATACACACAAATGTTAAAAGGAAGTCCGACCGCCTTCGGGAGTCTTCGCTCCCCTCTGGGGCGAGCTCCCTCTCCTGATGGCTTGGTGAAGCCCTCCAGGCCACGGTACTCGCCCCAGGCAAGGCGCACCCACCTGCCTTCGCGCAGAGCCCAGAAACTCAGATCTTGAACCCTGACGTAGAGGATGCTTTTAAGCAGAATGCAGAAGTTTTAGCCCAAAAGCTTCTAATATGAGAAGTGATATGCGTGACTAATCCATCTATATCCGTCCTTCAGTACGTTCTGATTTTGGAATACAAAATATCTCCTCTCTATCTGCACCAATCTTACCCGTCTGTGGAACAGCGCTAACAGATCCCAATCCTGGGGTGTGTGCTGCTTTACAGCTCCAAAGAACTGTGAATTTGATTTTACGACCGAAAAGAGGAATAACTCCAACGATAGTGGTCGTGTTGTTGAAGTGATTTCAATATTTTCCCTCCCTATACGATACTACAGTTGAGATTAGCATAAGATATAGCCATACAGTAGGGAAGAAAGGAAAACAATTTAATGGTAAAGGTTTCACCCTCTTGTGTTTGGCTGCTCATTTCTATGGGCAGAATATACATTTTAATGATTTAGATCCGGTTTTGAAAGCCAAAATATTATTTAAATACCGTAGATAATTTTGGAAGTAATCTTGATGAAATTTAAGACTGACCTCTTATGAGTGTATCAATTTATACTGAATCTCTTTTTATTAGTGAAATCAGTTAATAAAGTATGTGTGAGGAAGATTGTTCTCCATAGGATAAAAATGTCATGTCAAACTGCTCTGAAAAAAATTGAGGAGTTTGGAATAGCTTTTGTTGTAGTAGTAGGAGGAGTATGAGTATGAGTGGGAGTGGGAGTGGGAGTGGGAGTGGGAGTGGGCGTGGGAGTGGGAGTGGGAATGGGAATGGGAATGGGAATGGGAGTGGGAATGGGAGTGGGAGTGGGAGTGGGCGTGGGAGTGGGCGTGGGAGTAGGATTAGGATTAGGATTAGGAGTAGGAGTAGCTGTAGCAGTAGCAGTAGCAGTAGCAGTAGCAGTAGTAATTTCATGTCAATGCTAATGAGTTTCTTTTTGTAGCATTTTGGAAAAAGGAAGAGGATAAATTATAAGCTTCAACTTCTACCTTTTCTTACATAAATAGTTTAATCATGATGATTCATTTATTTACAAGAATATTCATTACTCTTTCATACATTATAAACAATTCTTAATTTTTTCTCCAGATATATTAATGTCATTTTCTAAAAGGTTCATTCTAATTTGAGTAACTAAGTTCAAGGCACATATGTACAACACATTATAATCAAGTACATAACTATGAAATCACCCTCTTTCTCATTTCATTTCTAATAACACCCACTCATTTTTATCTTCATCATTTGCTACTGACATTCATTCTGGTCATTTTTTCCTACTTTTAATACTTAGTCTCCCAGGAATCAGTTTAATTTAGTGAAGTAGATAATAATGACAGCAATGTTTATAAAAGAAAATAAAGGAATTGTCTAGTAGTATTGATTCTATACATCAGACATTATTCCCCATATCCTTTCAAAAAATTTTGAAGTATCCTTCTCATAACTGTAAACAAATCTGCCATTGGAATTCAAAAGTAATAATGTATTTGTAATAACAGTAGCAAAGTGTGTTAGCTTAGTTGGAAAGATTGACTAAAGTAATGTTGTATTGAAGTGCAACTATTCTCAATTTTGTGATGCTAACTACTTTTATTAACAGTAACGATAATATTTTGATTTTTCATGTAATGAATCAAAAGTAAAAAATGAAACACTATTTTAGAATTACCAAAAGGGAAATCTAAAATTTTAACACTAATATCCTGAATACTTTCTTACAGACCCTCTTTTCAGAAATTTCCTCTGTATTTTCATTAGAAGGTTGCAGTATTTAAGAAACATGTTTGTATTTTCATAAGTTTTCACAATCACATCTTCAAGTTTTGAATTTGACTCAGAATACAAGGTATAAGATTGAGAAGCATTTAACTTAAATAGTTTCAATTATTTTTTTACTTTTAATTATTTAATTAATTTTTTTAAATGTGTAATTCAGAATTGTGTATATCTATGCTATCAGAATGAGACTTTGCCTTTTCTGCTAAGAAATTGCATCTTCAGTTAGCATTGACACACACATACACTTCAGCTACAATACTTCAAACAACACTACAATGTTTAGTAATATTCATTAGGTAGAGTATCAAAAAATGAGGACATTATTTTGTGTTATGAAAGAAATTTGTAATGAAGTAATGTTCAATTGATTCGAAAATATGCTTTGAAAAGATGCAAAAATCCTATGAAATGGCTCACAGGTAATGTGATATAAAGGACAGGGAACCAATGGTGCATGAAGGTTTTCATAAATATTACATTGCATGTATAGTAATAAATAGAACAGTACTATATTTTCAATAGTAGGGAATGTTATCATACTCATTTTGTAAACTTGTGTAATACAAATTTAATTTAGTAACTTTTCTTTTCCACAATTCAAAAAGAGAAATATAGAAAATACTAAGTTTCACATGAGTGACTCTCCATTAAAAGCCTGACATATCCACTTCACACTTCAAAAGAAATTAAACGACATATAAATGTCATATTCTTAAACCTTCACTATATGTAATTTTTCCTTCCTAAACACAATTATTGTATTAACAGTAAAACACTTGATATTTTCCATTTCAAATACACTGTTTTCTTATGAACTCTAAATAAACCAATGCCAAACACGGCAGAGGCAAATTCTGTTATTCATCAATTGCACAAACTACAACATACTGTAGAAAACCATCTCATGACAAAAAGTTTGCAATATCAGTCTTATTTTTCTCAACCAATGCTAATAACACAACAAACAATTGATTCATCCAACTTCCATCACAGTACATGTCCTCTCGTGAGTGATTCTGTAACATTGGATCACAATTATGAGTGTTTACTGACTGAGTTGAAATATAATTATAAAAATATTAATGATTTTGATGAAGAGAAATACATTTGGAAGAATTCTGCCTAAACAAGAATATTTTTACCTTTAAATGAACTCATAGCACTGTGTTTGAGACATTGTTTTATAAAAAGTTGCATTTTTCATACTATTCACATTAAAAACAAAATTCTAAATCGTTCACAATCTTTAAAGTTGGATATATGAAGATAAATGAAGGTCACAACAATATATTTAAAAGGAAATTAAGCTGACTGGTATCACAGTTACATTTTCTAGTATTTCTGAAATACTGAATTGGATTTAAGGCAGACTGTTTTGATTAATCATATGTGAAATAAGATATTATCATTGTGCCTCCCTACTCTGAACAATGAAAACTGGGTATTATAAATGATTCAGTTCAATTAGCGGTGACTATCATCATTGTCCTGCAGCTCTTTGAGAGAAACAATTTTATTCTTTCATAATGGACTCTGTAAATTTGGTGCGAATCTGGAATTATTATTAATAAATTTTATCTTCAAAATTGATTTAAATTTCATTATTTCAATGATCTCTTATTGTTCTATATAAAATAATAGCAATTTTGTAGAACATTCACGTTTGTTTTGGCATTTTTAGTAAATACAGCACCAACTCTTGCTAAGGTAAAGTTGAACATAAACAGGGACTTCATCTATTCAGCCGTTTAAACACATATTCAAATAATGAAAAAATAAATACATTTAAATGGTGACCCCAGAACTCTGCAGCAGTTTTACTAAAAGTTATTTTGCTTATTATATTTGCTCTTGTTTCTTACAAACAAGACGAAACAAATTAGTGCTGACTGCTGCACATTATTTTGGTAAAAGAAATGCAGAAAAAAAAGACTTTTCAAGTAAATTATCTAAGCTAATGTAGCCTTTGCTGTAAATAAATTATTTTTCAGAGCACAGAGGAATACAAAATGAATTATATCCTATCTTTTCACAGTGATAAAATGACTCCAATATCGGTAAAGAAATTGTCCCACACCAACTTAAAGAATAAAGTGATGTAGGTATAATTAAATAATATTCCTAGGGGAGACAAGACATTAGAACAAACTTAAACAAATACTCATCACACAATGTTTGATGAGATAATGCACAGAGCATTTCATACCCTGAACTGACAAGTACAGAGGCAATCATAGAGTGCTCTCTGCCCTAAATATTGTATAAAGTAAACAGTCCTATCCACAAGGGCATTTAAGACTGACAGCTTGCACTCCTGTTTCACACTGGTGTTACTTTGTGTGTTGAAGCTGCACATTTATATCACTGAAGAAATTCAAATTTCAATATACATAATTGAAATTGGTTGAAAATAATTGTGAATTTCTCACATGACATTGTCCATTATATTGTCTACATGATTTTCATTCAGAAGTGGCACTTCACTGATATGTGAATATTAAACCATTCAGCATGATACACGCATGAAACACATACAGTTCTCATTTGTGAGTTAACACTTCCTGAGTAGTAGTGATGGACGAAGAAGTTACAAACAATATTGCCTCATGATGATACACCAACACAGGCAACATGTAGGAGATGCTCAAACAGCAAGTAGTCTGCTCATGACTGCCGCAAGTGTGGTAGTCGCCAACGCAGCCACAGTGACTGCGGGATTGGCACTCACCGTTAGCGCCATATTTGAACGGTCACGGGGATCGTCCTTGTTGTTGCTGTCTGCAGGTGGAGAGGACCCAGCACACCAGTTAAGTTTACTGCCCACAAGACGGCAGTGGTCACTCCAACAATGACTGTCTCTTTCTCCTCTCTTTTACCTCCCTTCCTTGCCTACATCTGTCTCAGCCTGTAACTCCGTGTGATGGTGATTGGTAGTGATAGTAATAATGGTGGTGATGGTGGTGGTGGTAGTGGCAGCAGTAGCAGCAGCAACAATCCATGACTCAGATTTAGGAACTTGCATTTAGTTTTAGACTGACTTGGTTTTAATACATTGATTTCATTGATTCATTTATTAAATATGTGAATGTCTTCTTAGACGTGTATATCCTCTGGAAATTGAAAAGGTGAAAGAGATATGTTTTAATTTTTCATTTAATGTTAATATAAAGGATTTTAAAAAGTGATAAATTTTAAATATATTTCAATATATTTTGATTTCAAATTTTTCAAGCAAATATGAATCTTGTTGATTAATATTTTCTGTTATATATCTGCTTCAAATTTATATTGGAGTTTATAAGTCTCTAATTTTAAAATAAAAAGATAGAAAAAGAAGTGTAAAATATCATTTGCCATCAAAATAAACGCAAATGCAATTGTTAGTTTCAAAACCACTTTTTTCATTTTCAGCTGCAGAAACAAATTATGTTCATTTCAAACAACATTGGTTTAGCTCTCGTGTTAATTATGGCTTTGTAGTATACTTTATTCTTTCAATAAAATTATAGTAAGGTTAATGTAAGCTGGATGCACAGTGATATATTTGCAGCACACAAGACAAGGAGTGACATCCAGAATGGATGGTACAATTCTAAAGTGTTTGTTAAAGTGTAGTTTAGTTATAGTGTTTGTGGAGTACAGTGAACAGAAGAGGCCTCTCATTAGGCACACCTTTTGTGCAATCATGCTTGGTTTTCACAGCACAACAGTGCCAAAGTGATATGTGACTGTGTGGAGAGAAGCACAGAAAGAGAGGAGTGTAAAGAAAGAGACATTCTCAAGAGTGACTACTGCACTACTCCTTACTCTTACTTTTTACCAAGAAAGAACTTAATATAGAGTTTAACATTCATTCATACAGCATCATTTACTCATACTCCGTCATAAACTAGGTCTCTGAAATAATTTCATTTGATAGAACATTCAGACAACTCAATTTCACTCTAATGCAAACATGGAGACTAATATTGAAGAATGAATATCTATAATAACATTATTGGTTCTCTTTTTTTTTATTTACTGAAACTTGTGATTACTTAACTTCGGTTTTTTTTCTTTGATGCATATCAATAGTAATGATATATTCAAATAAAATATATTGCATTGATAATTAATTATAATTTTGAGGTAGTAAACTATATTAATTCCATTTTCTTAAAAGTAACTTTCAAATGCAATACCACACTACTTAAATTTAAATAAGAAATATTTGCAAATTGTGCAGTAAAATAATTATTTAAAATTTCTTATCTTTATTCCTTTTACTATTTATGTTTTAATCACTTGTGATTGTGTTTAATATTTTGTATTTATGTGATACTTTTATTGATGTGAAATTGATATGCATTACTATGAGATCAATTTTTGAAGTCTCCTTATAGATAAAAGAAACTAACCTTGAAGAGAACATACTACTTATATGTCAAGAAGTCACATTGTGCACATTAAAAATAATTAGCATGTGCCGCTTCCATTTCACAACCTGACAGGGCGACAGCAAGAACTGCCAAGTATTTTATGGAAGAAACACATACTTATATTGAAGAAAGAAAGCAATAAAATGGGTTACGGCCGGGCGAGGAGGCTGTTAGTTTGTTAGTTGGCTACTTACAATTTGCTTCAGGTCTGAAGCACAAGCAGGAACTTGCCCAGTACTCATTATTAATTGAAAGAATAGGTTCAAAAGGATCTTAGATCAGTAGTTCCCAAACTGCAGAATAGACATTAACAGATATGAGTATAAAATTTCTGAGAAGTACTAAATTATTTTCATTGTTTGCAAAATTTGAAAATATTTGAATTGAAGAACTGAGAAGAATAGTAATACTGAAATTTAATATGTAAGGTTGTAATTTTTCAATTAAATTAATAAAAATTTCAAATTGTAAATTTAAATCAAATCCGTTTCTATTGCAATACTTATGTCAAAAGTTTTTAAAAATTTATAATTTTAAAGTCAAAGTAGTATTATGAGTGAAAATAAGAAGGAATTTAGATATTGACTGATATTTGAGAATTGGGTGCTCACAATAGTTTATTTGTTGGTTCTTACAAGTACATTCTCGTAATGCAAAAATGTAATTTCAAAAGAATTGTGCAGTGTTCAATGATATGAACAAATTAAACTCTTTTCTTTAACAGTTTGGAAACACTTGCTTAGAGCATATGGGAAGGTAGGCTTCGAAGAGTGAAAAACACAGGTAAAAAACATCACTCAAGGAAAAATGTTAAGAGGATCATGGCTTCAACTACTGCCATCACTGAATGTAGTTTTGGCAATAGTAGTGGTGTGTGATTGGGACATGGTTAATATCTTTTTATATGGTGTTGTTTGACTGAAATCAGAATTATTTTTACTAAACTATCGTTTTGATAGAGTGTACTATTCCTGTTTCTGAATCTAAAGTGAGATAGTGTTTATAGCGGGAGTGACATACGGTAGTATGAAGTGTGAATTGAATGTTATTAATGGTGATCTCGTTTTCCTTAATATCATATGCATTATAAGGAGAAGTCCTAGGAAAGTACACAAGTAATAATTTGTGAAATAGGTGACTCGCTGTGTAAGTGGGTCCAATAGTATCTCCGAGATTCGAACGACTATATAAAAAGTTTCCTCAGCAAATAATGGCTCACAGACTCGCCTTTTCAGTAACTGAGTATCAAAGCAGTACGATTTACATCTGAGTGGGCAATTATTTACATTCGATCATGATTGTAAAGGGCAGTATTTGGATTTATGCTTCCCTCCTACCGTGTGGACAATCCCTCTTTTGAGTGTATCTCATGTGATGACTCCAACGCATGATCATCTCATATCCTGTGAAGGAGAAGCATCTCGCTGGTTCCCTCTTAGTCCCTTGGAATCGTCTCGAATTACGGCGTGACGCGCGATTGCAGCAGCGGCTCAGGGGTTGATGAAAAACCCGATTGGATGCACGCGTCGCGGCGGCTGAGCCACGTAACTGGGGCAGGAATGCCGTCTTTGCGATTCCGCCGCTGCGAGTGAGCGGAGTGTGTGTAGAAGCGCGAGGGGCGTTCGTGTGCGGGGTCG